CTGGAATTCCAAAATGGAGCACATTTTATATATCTGAGCCCTCAGGACTCGCTGGGAATGAGCAGCTCCTCAGGGCCCTTCTCTCCTCTGCCCTCCTCAGTTGTCCCTGTGACTCTCCAGAGCTTTTTGGACCTGGGAAACATGGAATTGGCTTTCTGGTTTCTTACCTGTCTGATGCTGAAGCACAAGTGGGAGAATAAACACAAAGGTTTCATCAAATGGCTTTACATGTTCTTTGTCTTTATAAATATATTTTTAGCAGAAATCAGGGCTCCTGGCCTTTTAAAAAGGTGGCAGAATAAGCCCTTTTTCAGGTTGTTGGATGGGATCTTGGTCTCTTCCTTGTCTGGAAAAAACTGAAAGGGAAAAGTGTTGAAACCTTCCTTTTCACCACACCATCCTTTCACCCTTCAGGTCCATCTGAAGACATGATGCCAACTGGAATAATTTAACAGAAAAGTGGAGTAAAAATGCTGTAACTTTTATTCTGGAATTCCTCTCTTCTATTCCCTGGGCCTGGTCACGGGTTTTGACCAATAGACACGGAGTGGATGTAATTTATGGGTTCTCCAGATCTATCCTTGGCTCTTTTGTCCTCTTGCTTTCAGGACTTAAAGCTTTAAATACAAAAGGATCTGAATTTCCCTTTTCGTGTTTGTAGGGGGAGGGGAAATTACCCCTGAACCAAATATGTGCTCTTGCAGTGTATAAAAAGTGGTTTAAATAATAAAATAACAAAAATAATAAAAATGGTTTCAATAATAACAAATGGTTATTTAATCTGTAGCCTTTTTGAAGTTTGAACCTGTGCATGAAAGGGGGGGAAAAAGGACCACGTCTTTCAAAGGTGGACAGATAAGAAATATCAGATCTCCACAGTGGTTTGTGATGGGAGCTGTGCATTAGCACCCTGAAGAACTTAAAATATTAAAGGGGGTGGGAATGGCTAAAAAAATTATTTAAATTTAATTTTTAATACAATTATATTAATATATGAATATTTTAGCAGTCTTGCACCCCCCAGGTTCTGACATTCCCCGGTACTTCAACAGTCAACAGTCTTGTTTTATTGCCCTGGAGTGTGAGCAGAAATTACCATCAGAGAAATGTGATTCATTTATCTACAGTCTTCTTTTGCAATAAATTAGCTTTTCTCTTTTTAAATGCTTCTTCCCCCTGGAACAAATCCCTCCTCCTCCTAGAACTGCAGCTTTTTTAACTGAAACACCACAAAGTTCCCATTTGGGAGCTCCCCGGTTGTATCTTACAATAATTCTATTGAATGATCTATAGCTCCACTTTTATTCCCTATTAGTAGCTGGCTGATCAATGAGCAGCTTAATTGATTGTTAAGGGCAAATGTCTTTATTGGCTTTTCTTTTCTCATTACGACTTAAACCATTCCATGGTCTGCTGGAGTTCTTGTACTCATTTTTTTTGCGCTCCAGAACAATAAATTTCGTGATGCAGATGCTGCTCAACAAGATATCGATGCTGCTGCCAGCCCAGATATTCCCAATAAAACAGGGCTTTGCTTTTCCAGCCGGGTTTGTGGCGGCGATGTGGGAAAAGTTTCATCTTCACCTCGGAATTTGCACCTGTTTTGTTACGTTTTTAGGCTGGGCTCTCTCAAATGTCCCCCCCATTTTTCCCTCTGTGTCGTCTCAGCATTCCCTGGAGATTGACTCCAGGATATTGATTCCTTCTGCTTTCCTTAAGATGTTTATAACTGAATTACTTGCCTGAGACTCCCATAAACTTGATGGAGCTGCTTCCTCCATTCCTAAAACTCCCAGTTTTCCGAGGCTGCTTCGGGATGAGACACATTGCACGCTGGGCTCAGCGAAACTATTGTGGGAATGGGGAATAATGATTTTGGGATAATCATCATGGCCGGGCTTCGCGAACGAAGATCTGGGGAGGGCTCTGCCCACGTTTGTCACAAGCTAAAAAGGCAAAGGTGGCTAAAAAGGCCAATACGAGACAGGCACGTCCGGCTGCAAAAGGCACAGCAGAAAGACTCCTTAGGTGGTAAATTCTGCAGGACACGGTTCTTTCTGCGTTGTCTTTTCTCCTCAAGGGTGACCCTGTGTGCGTTCTGAATCCGAAAAACTCGGTCCGAGAAACTGCTCAGAGACTTTTTTATCTTTAAGCAGCAAGGTATTTGTTTGTTCAGCGTTGGGAGCCAGCCAGCTCGCGCTGGGCAGACTTGCTCGAAAGCTTCACACAAAATCAGCATTTTTATACGATCTTCAGCTGTGATTAAACGCATATTCAAGCGATTACAACATCTATCTATGCATATTAATAATAGATGGAGTATAGGTGGAGCTCAGGCGGGGCTTGGGGCGGTGCTTCTCTTGGCCCTCAATCCTGAGGGTACTTCCACTCTTCCTCCATGGGTCTGGGGGCTTAAACTCATCTTCCTCAGCTTGACCTTCCTTCTCTTCCATTGTTCTTGACCCGCTCACTGAAGCTTGGAGAAAACCCTGGCTCCCGGCCTATTTCTTCTATTCAAATGTCTACCTTATCCTACTGCATTTCTAATTTATCACCTCTAGGCCTATGACATGTTCTTGTACTATTCTCTTAAGCTTTGGTCCAGTAAGTAGAACAGAACAAGCACAGATGGTTTTGGATGTTGGTAGCTCGTTAGCAGGCCCAGATTCCTTAGTTAACTCTTTTGGGCCTGGTCTCCTGTTTCAGTTCTCAAAGGCATCAGCTGTGTTATAGATGGTGTGTCTCCAGACCTCCCAGTTTGAGGCCAGAGTAGACCAGTTATGGTGATCAATATGGCCAAGGCTGAGATGTTGTTTCAGGCAGTCCTTGTATCTCCTCTTCGGGGCTCCTCTCATGCGGCAGCCGGTGGTGAGTTCCCCATAAAGCAAGATCTTAGGGAGGGGTGGTTGGTTCTTCATCCTGGAGACGTGCCCTGCCCAGCACAACTGTGTTTTACAACATGACCTCAATACTTGTGACTGCTGCTTGTTCTAGAACAGATGGATTGGTCACATCATCTGACCAGTGGATGTTTAGGATTGTGCAGAGGCAGCGTCGATGGAAGCGTTCTGGGAGTCGCAGGTGGTGGCAGTAGGTGACCCATGATTCAGATCCATATAAGATCCATTCTCCCAGGCAATCAGCAGTAGGACAAGAGGCCGTGGCCTTAAGCTGCACCAGGGGAGGTTTAGGTTGGATATTAGAAAGAAATTCTTTGCAGAGAGCGTGCTCAGCCATTGGAATGGGCTACCCAGGGAAGTGGGGGATTCTCTGTCCCTGGAGGTTTTTAAGATGAGGCTGGACGTGGCACTTAGTGCCATGGTCTAGCAACTGTGGTGGTAGTGGATCAAGGGTTGGACTTGATGATCTCAGAGGTCCTTTCCAACCCGTCTGATTCTATGATTCTATGATTCTATGAAGAGAGTAGACAGCACTATGGCTCTGTAAACACTGATCTTTGTGCTTGTCTTCAAGTGTTTATTTTGCCAAACTCTTCTATGGAGTTTTCCAAAAACTCTCTGTGCCTTTGCCAACCTGTTGTCTATCTCCCCATCCATCTCACCATCCGAGGAGATGAGGCCACCCAGGTCATTAAACTGCTGGACTGATTTGAGCTCTGGTTGGCCAATGGTGATGTGGGGATGAAGGGAGACTTCCTGAGGTGCAGGTTGATGGAGAACCTCTGTCTTCTTCAAGCTGACTTCCAGCCCAAAGAGCTCAGCAGCATCTGCAAAGCAGGATGTTAAACGCTGCAGAGCTGCTTCTGTGTGGGCAACAAGGGCGGCGTCATCAGCATAGAGCAGCTCCTGGACAAGATGGTTTAAGGTCTTGGTGTGGGCCTTCAGGTTGAAAAGGCTTCCATCAGTATGATATCAAATGTAGATCCCGTCCTGATCCTCGAGGTCTGCCCTGGTCCTTTGGAGCATCCTGCTGAAAAAGACTGTGAAAAGGGTTGGAGCGAGAACGCAGCCTCGTTTCACACCAATATTTGCGGATAAATCCAGCTCCTGGGGAAGGAGGTGGTGGAAATCTCCTTCCCTGGCTTCGAGCCCCCTCAGCAGAGGTGTTGTTGCTGCTCCAGGGGGTTGTTTCACCTCCTGAAATTCAGCATTTTTTTTGTTTTTTGCTCAAAGTTCTGGGGGTTTTGGGATGGGATGTCTGTGCTTCCATAGGGTGGGATCTGAGCCTCGTGGGAATGAGGGAAGTGCCTGTTTGCCTGTCCTGGAATTCCAGAGTCAGGCAGAGTTCCAGCTGGTGTAGGCAGAGCTTTATTCCATGGATTTTGGTAGTTTTATAGGTGTCTGTCTAGGATTGGTGACTCTCCCACTTTCCTACCTTTGTGTGGAAAACTCAATTCATATTCTTGAGGAAGTTGCTTCCCTGCTTTTCCATTTCTTCTTTCATTAATTCATCTGACACAACCTAAGGGAGGCAAACATTCCTTTCTTGTCTGCTTGGTTAAAAAAAATTTGGAGGATTTGAGGCAAAATCCCTGTCTAACAATAGGAACTGGAAACCTGGATATGTAGGATGTTGTAAGTGCTTTGCTGGGTAAAATATGCAGCTGGAAATACTTGATTCTTCACACAAAGACACCTCCTTTGCTTCTGTATGAATAAAACCCAGCGTTTTATGACTTTACTATTTATGTCTCTGTCCCATCCCCCCCGATTTTACTCTACAAAGGCATAATTCCTGAAGAAAAATGCATTTAATTTAACATATAGTGCGTGTTGTTTAATTTTCAGCAGGCTGCACTAATTGAAAAACCGTTTGAGAAGAGTAATTTTTTAAAAAAAAAAAGAGGAATTTTAACTAAATGTTGTGTGGGCTAAAATTTCCAAGCTGGTTAAAAGCACAAAAAGCACTCCAGCTGCTCTGTAGAAGAAAAAAAAAAAGCAAATAAACAAACTAAAGCGCCGTGTTATGCAGTTGTTTCTGTAATTGGGAATATTTTTGTGTTCTGTTAAGGTTTAATTGCGTTTTTCTTCTAATTGCAGTTAGTAATGAAGAGCTGAAGAAAAGAATAGCTGAAGAACTGGCCTTGGAACGAGCCAGGAGAGACTCTGAAGCTCAAAAGAGGAGGTTGGTTCATTAATAACGGGCAGGATTTCAATTAAACGTGTGCTTAATGCTTTTATTTTTCTTCAGCTGCTTCCTTTCGTGCCCTCAGACGGTGGCAGGTGAGATACTGAGCAAGTTTTGATATTAAATACGTGTTAAAAGAGCAATTAAATTGGGATTTCCACGTCAGAGCTGCTCTAAATCCCTTTTGACCTCCCGAGCGGGGCTTTTTTGCAGCATTTCAAGCTCAATCTGATGATTTCTCTGGAGTCCAAACCATCACTTTGTGGTGCAGGGGCAGAAACAGCAGAGCAGGGCAGGGCTGGGGGCCTTGTGACCCCAAAAAGAACATTTTAGCAGCAGTAAAAACGATAATTCTTGTCATTTTTACGAATTCCAGAGATTTCTGGGAGCTGCAGCGGGAGCTTGAGTGGATTTATTAGTACCATGTGGTTGCTTTGAACATGCCAAATACTTTATAAAACCAGTTTCCTGGTAGAAAAATCTTGGATATAATTTCTATCTATTGAAACATTCCTTTCTTAAGCTTGGTTTTTTTAAGAGTGAACTGAAAGCCTGGGCAAAGCCATTCCTAGCAATTAAAAATTCCCATTTAAACTGGAAATAGATTTTGGTGCCTGGTGAACTCAGTGGACTTATTAGTCCATTAGTGTGTTTATTTATATTTTCAGTGATAAGCACAAACAGATAATGACACACTGGATATAAATATTAACTTACACGTTGTCCCCCCCGCTCTGAGAATGGGAAGAAAAGCTCATTATGATGGATTAAAAAATATTAGAATGTAATTAGAACTGCTTAAACTGCCTGCATATATCTGAGTGGTTTCCTACACATCATCATATTATTCTTTAATTGAGTTTGGTTGATGGAGTATATAATTAGATAGGGCTCTATAATGTCCCAGGGAAAAAAAAAAAATCAGGCTTTTCTCTTTTTTTTTTTTGGCATCAGCAATAAAGGAAATCAATAAATTACAGTGAAATCTCTTCTCTCTGGAACTGGGCACTGACAGGACAACTTGGGTTGTGTTTGAGCTCCGTGTTGGCTGCTGAAAACTGGAGTTAAATGTGATTGAAACACAGAAATTTTGTAATTTGACCCTTTTCGGCCCCTTCCGTTCAGTTTTCCGTAATTCAGTTATCCCAGGCTGGGAAAGGGAGGGAGAAGGTTGTCAGAGAGATGATATTTTTAGGGAATAATGCTGGAATTTTTAGGGAATAATGCTGAAGTCTTCCCTCTCTTTGACTCAGGATTAATGGGGAAGATGCTACATATCAAAACATCTTCTCGTTGTCTTAAAACAAGGGGGAAAAATCAGTGCCTTTGGAATTTAAAAGCATCCAAAGAAATTAATGAAGAGGATAAAAAAAGACAAATATCGAGTCTTGTTGGCAGTTTCTAGTTTTGCTTTATTTATTTAATTGATTTATTTAATTATTTAATTTATTTAATTGAATTTTTAGCCGTGGCGAGGATTTTTTAATTATAATTTTTACACAGTATATATAATTATAAAAATGCATTTCAAACAGAGTGTAGGGGCTTTTTGGTGCTGGGTGACACGACTTTAAAAGATGTTTCTCTTGAGTAATTTTTAAGGTCTTTGTGGGCTGAATTCTGGTTGAGGTTTGTGTTTTAAAAACATTGAAAGAGTGCAGAGTGCTCAGTTATTTTGTCTTGTTCTGGGTGATACAAACATGAAATACAACCTGCAATAATTAATTTGTGATATAAACCCCAAACACATTAACGCAATGTTAGGAAACAGAACAAAACTAGAACTACTATTAATATATTAACAATTTCATTTGATAACCCACTACTTTCAAGGCCCTTGTGACAAAAAAATTAAGGTCCTTTTACTTCCACATTCCTCTTGAGGATTGTTTTACCATAGGTGGTTTATTTTGAATATTCACATTCTCGTTCCTTCCTCAAAAATATTGAGTTTTTTCCTCAAAAATGCTGGGTTTTTTTCCAGTCTTGAAGTGAAATAACATTTAAACATAGAAATATCTGAAGCTTTCAACAGTTTGTTGTGTGATTCCAAGTGTCTAATGGCTGATTCCCTGTGTGTGACCACATTTGGATTTGATTGCAAAACGTGTTTTACTCATTTCCAGGCCGTGAAGGAAGTTGCAGTTTTAACTTCTCTCTAAATTATTTATTCACACATGCATCCCCAGTGCAGATGGGCTCCTCTTACCTCTCGCTACATACAGGGAAGGGCTGTTCTTATTTCTGGGATTAAGAGCTGAAAAAAATACTCTTAAATTGGGTTTCCAAAAAGAATCATTAAGGTTGGAAAAGACCTCCAAGATCATCAAGTCCAGCCCTTGACCAACCACCACCACACCCACTAAATCATATCATGAAATGCCACATCCTTTGACTCGCTGACAGTACAGGAACTGCAGCTCTGGTTTAACAGTTGAATAATTATACATAAAACAGGGGGTTAGACCTGGATTTAGGACATGTGTCCCAAATCCTGCACCCGTTGATCTCTCATATTCCCAGATGTTTTTTCATGTATATTCAATGTATTCAACTCTGTGGGATTGAGTTGGTTACAAATTTTCCGTGCTGAGAACATGAAGCTGCTCTGAATTTCTGGCTCAGGGTGAAAACCAGGTGGCAACTTCCATTTTCCCCCCAAATAATAAGGAACCTTCCCAGGATTTTCTTCCCTCGGGGACCTCCCTGGGATCTGCGGCTCCCTCAGGAGGGGCAGCTCCGATCTCTGCTCCCTGTGACCAGTGGTGGGATCCAGGGAATGGCTGGAGCTGTGCCAGGGCAGGGGTAGGTTGGATTTTAGGGAAAAGTTCTTCCACCAGAGGGTGGTTGGCACTGAACAGGTTCCCCAGGGCAAGGGGCACTTCCCAAACCTACCAGAGCTC